TTCCTTTTGTTGATAAGAAAGTTGAATACAATAATGAAGAGCTCAATGACTTCAGCTATAGAGAGAGCGGAGACACCAATCCACATCCCCAACTGACCACCAACATTGGATATTATGTCCTGAAACTGAATGAAAAAAATATACCTCACAACTTAAAGGGCAAAAACACAAAATTCAGGGGTCTGGGGCCAAGTTTCAAAAATGAAAAGCAAATGTCCCAAATATTTTGTCATGATGATTTGACTTCCGAGCATCAAAAACAGCCGTGAAGGGCGGCGCATTAGGGTCTCATAACCCATTTGTAATAAACACAATGCAATGAYGGTTTACTACCTACATTGAAACGCTAAAAACATCATTATTGTACCTCATATTTTGGGGTTTCCTCTACGTGAGCATAGTCCAGATCTGCATARTACACGTGTAACTCTATCAAATTATCCCTATAAAATAGTTGTATGCGTTTTAGTAAAGTACAGTTAATTAGACATTATTCTTCGTGATCAAATATCTCCCCATTACTGACCACGTGTCAAYTGCAAGAGTGTCACTTCTTTGTTTAACGGATGCGCATGAAAAGCCACATGAATATGGTATAACTCAAACGAAGAATCTTATTTTCTAGAGAATGGCACACAAAAAATTTGAGAGGACCAATTTGGCCCCAAAGAGCAATTTTGGCTTTTTCAAAGTAGTTGTATTTTAGCCCAGGCAAGGGCTAAAATAGAACAATGCMATGTTGGCCCCACAGAAGCCATATTGGTATGGGTCTATCAGTACTGTTTTGCCCCCCTCAACTAGGCCAAATCAGGAGAAAAATCCATATAAGGRGCTAMAACAGTCCCAAAATCAGAGCTAAGAAATGGCCCCTACCGGTATTGCCACAATAACCCTACTTAAGGAGGGCACTATAAGGCCAAACTTTTGGCCCCWTTTTKGGGGCCAAAACCGCCCTWTCCGATTTACTGTGCAGGTGGTCTATCTGTGATGTGAAGACTGATTGCACCMCAAGGAATAAGCTCTATTGCCTGAAAATATGAGGCACAGTTATTCTGCTACATACTGCAGATGCGCTAAGTCTAGAGTACCTCTACCTTATTTCRGTGTCTGTCATGCCAGTCATGTTATCCCTTTTAAGGGTTTCATTGAGTCTTTTCTGTAAAATCCAAATATATAGTGGGAGGCTGATTATCATCATGTAATACTCATTAGCTCAAGATATAGCGAACTACTTGGTAATTAKACGAATGAAGTTTTAGATACGGTAAGTTTACATTATCCTTAAAATTACATAATCTTAAAAACATATATTAGACACAAATGATGCAGTAAAATAAACAAAATTATAGGAAGTGATAAAAAAAGATGGATTTGAACCCTTGAAATAATTAGTTACTGCTCTATTGCATTCCATATAAATATCTTTATTTGTSTAGTCGTTCTAGCGCTTTAGCACTAATTGGGGACAATTTTCGTCTGCCACTACATTCAATGTTATATGCATACAACGCTTAACTTAACTCATATGTCACAGTCGTCTGCTGGTTTTCAATTCAAGGAAACCTATAGACGACCGTAGTTCACTAGTAGAATTCCCAGTGGCTTAATGGCTAGAGCATCCGACTACAACACGGAAGCCGGCAGTGAGTTCAAATCCCAGCTCGAACTGAGAACATGATTTTCCTTTCRAGTTCTTTCTCTATCACTCAGTTCTCGTCGTTTGAATGAATTTATCCTCATARCTGTTTGAAGGCCACTTGGAAGAAGATATTGTTTTAGTGAAGTAACCAACCCTGAAATACATCAGCAATATTTAGCCCAATAGAACTATTATGTAATATATCTTAATGCATTCGCCCCTGCGATCCAGCGGTATTAGAAATATGCATATATAGAAATTAGGCTATACGGTGGAGCTCAGTATATACACCTATTTCGAAAATCGTTGTCGCACCAAGAGCTTCAAGTAACAAGCCAAGGCTCAGCTCTCTACTAATTATCATCCCAAGCAGCCTTGCTTGGAGCAATTTGCGAAGTCAATAAATGAAAATGCACCATGAATAAACTAATTACAGCGGTCTTGGCTTGTTGCTTTAGGCTTTTGTTGCTACAACGATTCTGAGGAGGTGTATATTTCGAGAGAAACTAAGCGAGTTCAAAACTAGAATCAAACCTCTTTTACTTTGTTTACATGACGCCAGGTTTTGATAATTAAAACTATTTTAGTTCCGCTTGCTTATGTTTTCAATTTAAACTTTCCATCAATCATTCATCRTTGGCTTAGAATAAAGAGGATTCAAGAAAATATTTGAAAGTTTAAGCTGAAGTATGCAGTTTCTYTCCAAATTCATCACCGGCTCCCCTTTAAGTACCTTAAGAAAAAAACGACTTTCCTTGATAGCTTGTTGTATCTTTTGAGGCCAGTTTGGTGCGTTTTAACTGAGTTATGGGGGTTTGTTTTCGTCCTCCTACTAAAGAAAATGGAAAGGCTGCACACTCACGGAAACACCAGCCTCTAATGGAATCTCAATAAATGCAAGAAAAATAAAGCTTGGGCCACAATTTCACCGCAGAATCAAAGAACACTTGCCAATGCTGATCTCCAGCACGCTCATGCGACCATTCTTGATAAATTTCGGGTGCTATGAGACAGTAAATCCACCATAAACCCACTTTTGGCTCTGGTTGTTTTCCAAGTCTGGAAATTAGACTGTTATTATGATTCCT